TCCATGATCCATGCGGCTGCCCCCCATTTTCTGTGGCCGTTTGCGGTGTGGTACGTTGCGCATCAGCTCAACCTCTGGCCCCGTGTCTCCTTGCCGGAGACCTCGCCCACACTGCTGTGGACGGGGAAGGTTGGCGATGCGTCGCGTTTCCGGGTCTGGGGTGCTCGTGCCTTTGTCCGCGATACCACCGCGGACAAGCTCTCCGCCCGCGCTGTTCCCTGTGTCTTCCTTGGCTTTGTCCCAGACGCGCCTGGTTGGCAGTTTTACCACCCCACCTCGCGCCGTGTCTTCTCCTCTCAGGACGTCACGTTCGACGAGTCGGTTCCCTTTTACCGTCTCTTCCCCTACCGCACTGCCCCTCTCCCCTCCCCGCCGCTCTTCCTCGCTCCAGGTGCTCCCCAGGTAGACCCCCTCCCCACTCCCGGTCCTGCTCCTTCAGGTGTGTCTCAGGTAGACCCTCCTCCCTTGGCTGCGCCGTTTGAGGTCACTGGTGACTCAGGTCCTGCTGAGGGTGGTCCTGCTCGGGGTGCTGCTTCTGGGGGTGCTGAGCCTGGGGGTGCGGAGCCTGGGGGTGCTGAGCCTGGAGGTGCGGAGCCTGGGGGTGCGGAGTCTGGAGATGCTGAGGGTGCTGGAGCTGGGGGTTCTGGAGCTGCTGCGGGTGCTAGCGCTGGAGGTTCTGGAGCTGCTGCGGGTGCTGGCGCTGGAGGTTCTAGAGCTACTGCAGGTGCTGGCGCTGGAGGTTCTGGAGTTGCTGCGGGCGCTGGCGCTGGAGGTTCTGGAGCTGCTGCGGGTGCTGGCGCTGGAGGTTCTGGAGCTGCTGCGGGTGCTGGCGCTGAGGGTTCTGAGTCTGCTGTTGCGCGGTCTCCCTGGAGTAGCCGCCTTCGTCCGCGTGTGCCTCTCACCTCACAGCAGCTGCACGACTGGTACGGTCGCCGTCAGGGTCGCGCTTCTGGAGCTCGGGGCTCTGCCACTGGAGGTGTTTCTGCTGTTGTCACTGGAGCTGGGAGTGGTGCTGGTCCCGGAGGTGCTCGTACTGGAGGTACTGGAGCTGCTGGGGCTGGAGGTGCTGCTGAGCCTGAGGGTGCTGCTGCTGGAGACCCTGGGTCTGGGGGTGCTGCTGCTGGAGACACTGAGGCTGGAGACCTTGGGACTGGAGGTGCTGGTTCTGAGGGTGCTGCTGCTGGTGGAGCTGGTCCTGGAGGAGCTGGCGCTGAGGGTTCTGGAGCTACTGGAGGTGCTCGAGCTGCTGGGGGTGCTGGAGCTGCTGGTGCTGGTGGCGTGGCACAGCCGCGCCTGTTCTTCGCTCCACCGTCTCCGTCGTCTCAGCCACCGCCTGACTCTGTGCTTCGCCAGGTTCTTAGTCTCCCTTCGTCTACTGGTCTTCCGTTACAGCCTGGCTCACCGCTGCCTGCTCCTTCTCCTTACACTGAGCAGACAGGGGGTTTTACTGAGCGTCGTGAGCCCGCGTCGCGTCTTGTCTCGCCTGTCCATTCTAGTTGTTCCGGTTGTCGTGTTCCTCGTTCCCGTCAGCCGACTGTCCCCGGCACCCACCTCGTAGTTCGTCGTCTTTCCTCTCCTCCGCAGCGTGTCCCCCTGCCGTCCCCTCCTGCGTCTTCTCTGCCTACCGTTCCTGAGCCTGAGTCTGACCGCACCCGTGCTGCTCACCCTACTGTCACGCGTCTGCTAGCCACAGTTGTCACTGACCCGTCGTTTGAGTCTGCTGCTGCGTCTGCCTTTGTTGCTGAGCTTGTTGACTTTGCTGCTGCCTGTCGTCTAGACTACGCCGCTAGTCTTGTTGCTGAGTCTGAGTTTGTCTGTCCTCCGTCCGTCGGGGGTGAGTGTGCTCTTGGCACGGACGTCCTTGAGGACAGGCAGGAGGACCTTGAGTGTCTTGCAGCCGCTGCGCCTCACCTCGTGTCCATGCTGCTTGCCCCTGAGGGAGACCCGGATGCTCCAGACATCCCGACCCCGCGCTCTTACGCTGAGGCGATCGCGGGTGAGTACTCCTCTCAGTGGCAGACAGCCATGGACGCAGAGATGGCATCCTGGAAGTCCACAGGCACTTACGTTGTCGAGGTTCCCCCTCCTGGGGCGAACATCGTCAGTGGCATGTGGATTTTCAGGGTGAAGGGGCCGCCAGGTTCTCCGCCTGTCTTCAAGGCTCGTTACGTTACTCGAGGTTTCAGTCAGCGAGAGGGAGTTGACTTCTTTCAGACCTTCTCCCCCACCCCGAAGATGACCACTCTTCGGGTGCTGCTGCACGTTGCCGCTCAGCGTGACTACGAGCTTCACTCTCTTGACTTCAGCACAGCTTTCTTACAGGGCAGCCTGCACGAGGAGATCTGGCTGCGCCGCCCTCCTCGCTTCACTGGGTCGTTCCCTGCTGGTACCCAGTGGAGCCTCCGGCAGCCAGTCTACGGTCTCCGCCAGGCACCACGTGAGTGGCACGACACACTAAGGACTACACTTGCGGCTCTTGGGTTTGCTCCGTCGACTGCTGACACGTCGCTGTTTCTGCGCACCGACACGTCGCTGCCGCCGTTCTACATCCTCGTGTACGTCGACGACTTGGTCTTTGCCACTGCTGACACTGAGGCTCTCGCCCTGGTGAAGTCGGAGCTGCAGAAGAGACACACGTGCACAGACCTGGGTGAACTGCGCAGCTACCTTGGCTTGCAGATCACCCGGGACAGAGCACGCCGCACCATCACACTGACTCAGTCACACATGGTGCAGCAGGTCCTTCAGCGCTTCGGCTTCACCTGGTCCTCGCCACAGCACACTCCTCTGGCTACAGGCCACTCGCTCTCAGCTCCACCTTCGGACGAGTCCGTAGAGCCGAGTGGCCCGTACCCAGAGCTAGTGGGCTGCCTCATGTACCTGATGACCTGCACTCGACCTGACCTTGCATACCCTCTTGGCCTTCTAGCTCGCTACGTGGCTCCTGGTAGGCACAGACCAGAGCACATGGCTGCTGCTAAGAGGGTACTGCGCTACTTGTGCAGTACATCGGGCATGGGGTTCGTACTTGGAGGGCGGAGCCCAGTTGTCCTCACTGGGCACTCGGACGCTTCTTGGGTTGACGACCTGGCTACGCAGCAGTCGTCACAGGGTTACACCTTCAGCCTTGGCTCTGGTTTAGTTTCTTGGCGTTCTACACGCTCGTCTTCTGTTCTCAGCTCTAGTTATGAGGCTGAGATCTACGCCACAGCCATGGCTGCACAGGAGTTACGCTGGCTCACCTACCTGCTGACCGACTTGGGAGAGCGGCCTCGTTCTCCTCCAGTGCTGTACGTTGACAACAAGGCCGCCATTGCATTGTGTCAGGAGCACAGACTGGAGCACAGAACGAAACACATCGCTCTGCGTTACTTCCTGGCTCGAGAATTGCAGCAGCGTGGTCAGCTTCGTCTCGCTCACGTGGCCACTCGGGCCAACACTGCTGATATATTCACCAAGGCACTTCCGTCTGGTGATCATCAGCATTTCTGCACTTTGTTAGGCCTTGTGCCCACATTTCCTCACTTGCTGTAGACTTTGCTTGTACTGTGATCTATATACATACCTGCATGCATGCTCTGCTAGGTAGAGATCACTATGCTGTTATTGTTGCATATATACCTCCGCATGTGAACTGGCCTTGTGGCCCTCTGCTTGTGCTCAGTGTGTGTGGTGACGTTGTGATCCACCCTGAGCTTGCTTTGCTTCTCTTGACTGGTCTTGTGACCCCTTGTTCTCCCCCACTTTGCCTATGGGGGTGTGTCAAACGTTATATCTACTATACATGTTTAGGCTGTAGTGGGGTAGCCAATATGGGGTACAGCCCACTTTAGGGTTTCATATTTGTACCCAACTCTTCCATAGTTCAATCATCCCTGTTGCTAAATTCTAACAAGGAGGGGAGGATCAGGCATGTGGCGGAGATTAAATGGGCAAGATGGGGGCGTTTAAGCAGACTCTGAGGCAGGCGCCACGGGCGAGGGGCGATGTTAGGGTTGTCGCACTTGATCGTGCACGAGGGGGAGAGCTCATGATCGGTGACGTCTCTAGACACAGAAGTGTAAGCCGCGTCTAACAACCTGGATTTAAGTGAATCAGAGAGATAGATGCGATCAAGACGGGATGCAGAAGGCGGAGCATCGCCCTGGTCACTGCGAGGATAAGCGAAAAAGGAAAACATCGTCGTGGCAGGGTGAAGAACTCTGAAGGAATTGAGCAATGAATGGTTCTGGAGGATGGAGGAGAGGAGAGCACCCTCTGAAACTTCATGCCCAAGCAGGGGTTTGTTGCGGTCCTCTGCTGCACACACCGCATTAAAATCCCCTGCCAAAGTGGTACCCGCCGAGGCGGAGGGGGAGTCAAGCGCGGGGGCAAGCATATCGCACCACCAGTGCCTTCGAAGGGAGGGGGAGGAGGGAGCGTAAGTAGTGATTACACGGAATTGTTCCTGAAGGAAATTGACATGCACAGTCAGCAGCCGTCCATCAAGAGAGGACTCGGAAGAGGATATAGTGATACTTTTGTTGAAAATCAGGACGGCTATGCCTCCTGGTTTGGGGTGTGTAGTGTAAGGGGGGGGGCATTTGGCATAGGAGGAGGGTTTGAGTGTCAGGGTGAGTAAAGGGAAATTAAGAGTAAGACGGGTGTCCAGGAGCACTAGGATATCTTGTTTAGGATCGCAATCTGCTATCCAGCTTCTAAGGTCATGATTTTTTTGTTGTTTGTTAATTCCGTTAACATTGAGACATCTTATGGTGAGTGGGATTAACATTTGGAACTAACAGCGGCCCTCACGTGCGTAGGCACGTGCATCCACAGGGCTGGAAGATAAGAGTTAGCAATGGGAGGCAGACCGTAGTCCAAGAACCTCGCCAGCATTGATAGATTCCATTACAGAGAATACAGCATTAAGGCACAGCAATTGGGTGAGCAATATAGCACAAAGAGCAGCTGGGAGGGACTAAGAAGGCCAGAACGGCCGTGGCAGCACAGGGCGCCACCTACTGTAGGAATGCAAAGATGTGAGGATGCTGCAACAGAGTAGCAGCCTTCCAAGCACCATACTTGTCTTTTACTGCCGGCAGGTGCGCCGTCTCCTGCATGCGATTGCGATGCAGGTCTGAATTGATGTGATACATTGCGCTGTCTAGTGCAAGGCCACAGTCGAAGTCGCACAACGAGTAGGTCCAGACCTCCACATCCAGGTCCACACCGATGAGAAGAAGCCCGGGGTCCTTCTTGAAGGCGGCGGGGGCAGCCTGCTGGCCAATGATTCGCCCTGAACGGCAGAGCGGGGGGGGAAGAAACAAATCCAGAGAGAGGGGGAGAAGACGGCAGATCCAGGGAAGCGGGGAGGAAGGAGGGGGAGGGAGGGGGGCAAGAAAGCCAGCATAGTGTGCGGGAGAAAAGCTGCAAGAGCAGCAACAGCCATAAGCCAAGAGAGGAACAGAAGGTAGCAACAATGGGCGATGTGGGCCTCGCGAAGAGCCCAAGCTCAAGTGGAAAGCACTGAAACCAGCGAAAAGCAAGGGGTGAGGGAGACAGAGGGGAGTACCATTCACGGACTGAAGCTGAGCCACGGAGATAGTGTGCCTGTTGGGGAGGCGCACGCGCCGGGTGAGAGCGAAGCAGGCGTGGTCCGCCACTCGGTGGTTGCTGGAGCAGATGGTGCAGGAGTGGAAAGAGATATTCATCAGCACAGGTTCCTCCTGGTTCGGGATCCAGAGCACAACGGGAATGCGATCGAAGCCGGGATCACCGTCAACGGCTACCGGAAGGCTGCGCATTTGGGAGTAAGCCGACCCGTCGTACGGGTCCCTCAGACGATGGAACGCGCGGAGGTCCGCCAGCCAGGGGAGTCCGTTCTCAGTCCTGCCCGCCAGAAGCGTTTCGCGCATATTCTCAGGCGAGTATCCGAGGGGGACGTTGCGAAGGACCAGGTGAGGGTCACCGCGGGAGCGAGCAGTCGTGAAGTCCTGGTTGGGGTCACTGAAAGCTTTGACTTCCATGGAGCGATTGTTAGCAAGGCGTACAGTGAGCGGGAACATCCCACGGAAAATCCGGGCATCGTTTGCGGTAGGCCAGGAAAAGGAGTGCCTGGAATAGGTGTGGCGAGGCAAGCGCAGCGGCTCACCAGCGGCCGAATCAAAAGCAGGCACAGCACTGTTGAAAATCTGACCGTTGAGCAGGGTCGAGATGCGAGCGCTACCGCTGCCCGAGCTTCCTCGCCGGAGGACTCCGGGAAGATGATGTCCACGAGGGACTGCGTGTTGCGAGTCAGCGACTGCAGTACAGCTCCGACCGTCGAGCGGTGGCGACGCAGGTTCCGGTGACGCACGGTAGGCGCAAGGGTCGAGGAGGGTCCTGCAGCAACCTGCGCCGCCACATGGGCCTGCGGCTGAGGCCGAGCGCGAGAGGCGGGCGCAGTTCGTGGCCCCGAAGGCCCTCGAACGTGCGTGTGCGTGGGGGCCGCGGCATCCGTGCTGCCGGAAGAGCTTGCGCGGGGAATCGGTAACGGCGCCGAGGGCGCTCCGGTGGAGACAGTGGCCGTGGCAGCGGCCGAAGATTGCCCTTCACTACACTGTTTCTTGGCTGCGGGTTCACCCGACGAAGTCGGCTGGGCGCCAACAGGAAGAGACGTCTGAGCATCCTCGGGGAGTTCCGGCAAGGCGCCGTCCGGGAGATCGTCAACGAGATAGTCCTCGTCGAGCTCGTTAAGGGTATCGTCCCCGACAGGAATCTGCTCTTCCGCCATCACGTGATCAGGGTTGTGGGAAGAAGCCATGTTTGCGAAGGGTAAGGAGGAGAAGGCCAGCCGTAGCGGTTTATACCAAAGGATGGAAGGAGGGGGATGAGGATTCCAAACGAGGAATGAGAAAGCAGATCGCGGCACGAGGCCAGATCGCGAGCGGTTCGACGTGATCGTGGTGCTTTGGCAATGGCCTTGGCAACCGAGAAAGGGTGACTGGGCGCCAGAGTGGCAGCCCGAGTCGGGGAGGCAGGCATGAGAGTTAACCTGAGGCACCAGGCAGCCACGAAGGATAGAGGAGTAGATCTGACCCCAGAGTGAGCTGTGAAGAGAAAGCTGAGTCAAGGTAGGGTCAGGAGGGTGGAGCAGGAGCGCCGCAACCAGCTTGCATGAGGGTTTGCAGCAGTAAGCAGACCAACACCTCAGCAGGCAAACGTCAAAATAGCCAAACTCCTTCCAAAAAGGATGGAGAGAGCGGACATTGATAGGTGCGCTGGGATGACACGTTGGAGGAGAAGAACAAGTCGAGATTATCAAAACAGTAGCAGCTGAGATGCTCACCTTTCCGGAAGAACCAATCCAGAAGACCACGCCATATGGCGAACCATATAACATGCAAACAAGCCACTCGTTACAAGTAGAAGAACCGAACTTACCTTCCAATAGGACGCCAGGGAGGGAATGTTGAACGCTGAAAGCGTTATCGAGCTGGCGAACTAGCGGTGTAGAAGGAAAGTAGAGGTTGATGCAAACGAGGACGAAGCACGACAGGGAAGCGGAGAGCTTCATTTTTCAGAGCGAGGTCTGCCTCCAGCACTTCACACAAGCATCGATGGCCTTCAGAATCTTCCAGTGGCGCTTCTCCAAACGCTCCAAGAAAAAACAACAACGAGCTGACCGAAGAATTAAGCTGGCCCAAGCCCATCGGTTCTTTCTGTTCCCGGAACCTAACTCCCTCGTTCTGCACCCGGAGCTGCGTGCCACCTGGCTCCGCAACGACGCTTACCGCCCCCCATAAACCATCCCCCGCCCCCTGTATGCCACATGTCAACTAGAAATGCGTCAGTGTACGCCTCCGTTCCGGACAATTCGAACTGCGATCTCATTTTCCCAGTGTGGGTTTGCAAATGCAATCTTTTCGGGCAGAACCACGCGGCTGCCCGTGTTAAGGGTTGGGGCTCCCCGTGTTTAGGGTTGGGGCTCCCCTAATCGCATGCCATCCATTAGGGGTTTATTTGTTTCTGACCGCGGGCAGATTACGACCCATCAGCTTCTTCCAGGCGGACTGTTAGGGATCGCATTTGCGAACCGCGCTGGCTTAATTAGATTGCAGCTGAAGTTGTCCCCCTCCGTTCTGGTAGCGGGAGGATGACGTGTTAACACGTGCTCCCTAAGGGGAGCTGGGCCTATGCTTGTGTCCTCTTCTAGTTGCATGTTTGTAACGGGTTACGACCTAATAAAAACCTTTAAACCTTTAAACCTCGATTTCCGATGTCCAAGAAGCGAAGCCACCCAGAACTGTAGCAGTAAAAATATATACGTAACAGTGGTGCTCTTTACAGTCCCTTTTCTGCCCGTGGCGAAACCGACAGAAACGCTCGCGAATTAGATGCCCGCTTCACTCCCCTGGTGTAGAAAAAGTTGGCGTGAGTGAAACGGGCATCATGTGTATTATCCGTATCGCGCTGCGCCTCTCCCCACCCAACAGTCTCGCCCCGTTGCCGGTGCTCCTAGCTGCTGGTGCTGGATGACACTTCTACGCCCAAGGAAAATAAAAGCTGACTCAGGAAGGAATGTGAAGCTGACTCGGGAAGGAAAATGACGTGGAGCTGGACTTATGCTGAGGGGGCGCGCGGGAATTGAGGCGCGCGGGAACTCAGCGAAGGCAATCCTGGTTGTAACAAACGAAATGACCAAATTCGCAGCAAGTGACCCTGGTCGCAACTTCGCAACTTTCTGAGAGCCCTACATAATCATATCACGTGTTCTACACAACTCGGACTACTAACGCATTTCGTGTAACGAGGATGACACCATGCATAATCTCTTTGTCGCCATCCAAACTGGTCCTTACCAGTCCAGTCAGAATTTGAGACTGTTGACTGTCCAGTCCTTTTTTCTGTCCGCCGTGTCGTTCCGCCACTCCGCACTCACCTCTACAGAACTTTCGATTCTATCTTCAGTACTCGGTGGCATTGGTAGTAATAGTAGACCACGATATCCCGTTACCTACCCGGCGGTCTAGACCATCAGAATGTCGTACCACTTCTCTAACGAGTCAGGCGGTCCGTATCTGTTCGAAGGCTTCTCCTGAGCATGTGTCCGTTTGCCGGCTACCGTGTTACTCGTCATCTGCAATACTCTCTCTCAAATTCGTAGCTTTCCGTCACTTTGTCTCGTTTCGAGTTCGCGAAGCCACGGACCGCCATGTCGTATATCGTAGTCCGCGGCGGCTCGTCCTCCGACTTCTGGCACCAAAACGAGAAGCTTTTTGAGAAATTAAAGCCGTACGTAATCGTCGCGGTCGCCATTCTCTTGCTCGGCGCACCGCTGCTGCTAATATTCCAGCCACTCGAAACGCTTTCGACGGACGTTGCCGCTTCGGATGCCTTTTCCGATGGTGCTTCTTCATCAAACTTTGAGGCGCCTCGAAGCCCGAACGATCCTGCTGTATCCTCGTTACAAGCCGAACTCGTTAATGGCGTTGCCATTGCGTGGTCGCTGTGTCGAGCCGAGGCTGCTTACTGGGTACGTTTTGAGACGGAATAGCTTACAGTGGGCGGAGAATCGCTTACTGAGGGCCGAACATGGGCGGAACAGAGCTTACTGGGGGCGGAACAGAGCTTACTGGGGGCGGAACATGGGCGGAATATTTCTTATTGTGGGCGAGGCGAAAAATGACGCGATGCGGCCACTTTCAAAGGCCATCTGTAACAAATCCGAAGAAGAGGATGAAGAATAAAACAGAAATTGCCAAATTATAATACTGGCTATGGAACCGATTGGATTGAGAAGTGAGCTTTTTCCCCCAAAAAAGCGTACCAGCTCCTTTTCCTCCAACTCCCCTTCCCCCCCCCTGTGCATCATCTCTTCCCCGGAGGATAAAATAGACCAAAGAAGCAGCTTATAACGGGGATGAATCGTCCATGGATGCATGCGGCTCCCCTCCTCTCCCGTCCTTTCCCGTCCTTTCCCATCCCCCCAAGGCTAATATAGACAGAAGGCAGCTCATAACGGGGATCAATGATTCAATGGCCCATGGGCGCATATGACCTGCCGTTGCTGCTGCTGCTCCAATCCCCCCCCTCCCAACTTCCTCCAGGCTAATATAGACAGAAGGAAGGCAGCTCATAACGGGGATCAGTGGCCCATGGACGCATATGACCTGCCGCAGCTGCTGCTGTCCGTGCTCATGCCCCCTTATCCGTGCCCAGCAGAGGAGCGAGTGGGCGCATGGGGGGATGGCGGGAAGGTGAGGGGATAAGGGGATGGTTATTGGGGAAGGTGAGTGAGTGGCTGGGTTGGGTCCTTCCGGTTACTCCCTGCCACCCCTCTTCTCTGCTCTCTCTTCTGCTTTCTCCTCTGCTTTCTCCTCTGCTGCTGTCTGTGCTCGCGCCCACTTATCCGTGCCCGGAAGAGGAGCGAGTGGGCGCCTGGGGGGATGGCGGAAAGGTGAGTGAATGGCTGGGTTGGGTTCTTTGGGTAACTCCCTCCTGCTCCCTCCTCTTCTCCCCTCCTCTTCTCCCCTCCACTGCTCCCCTCCTCTGCCCCCCTCCTCTGCTGCTGTTCGTGCTCGTGCCCGGCAGAGGAGCGAGTGGGCGCGTCGGGGGGTGGAGGAAAGGTGAGTGAATACCTGGTTTGGATACCTGGTTTGGATACCTGGTTTGGGGCAGAGGAGCGAGTGGGCGCATGGGGGGATGGAGGAAAGGTGAGTGAATGGTTGGGTTGGGTTCTTTGTGTCCCTCTCTGCTATCCCCCTCCCCTGCTTTCTCCTCTGCTGCTGCTGGCGGTGCGCCTGCCCGAGTTTTGAGTCGACTCAAAACTCGACTCATTACATGCTGGTGGTGCGCCTGCCCGACTACCCGTGCCCAGCAGAGCAGAGGAGCGAGTGGCTTTTGAGTCGACTCAAACTATCGTGTGCCATAGTAACGAGGTGACTTTTGAATCGACTCACAAGGCTTTCTCCTCTGCTGCTGCTGGGGGGATGGAGGAAAGGTGAGTGAATGGTTGGGTTGGGTTCTTTGTGCCGCTGGCGGTGCGCCTGCCCGACTACCCGTGCCCAGCAGAGGAGCGAGTGGGCGCGTGGGGGGGTGGCGGGAAGGTGAGGGGAGCCTGGGGAGGGGGCGAGGGGAAGATGGGGGGGAGGGATAGTGGGAAGGTGAGTAGGAGAAGGATGCGGCTGGAAGAAAAGGCATTATAACGAGGTGCTTTCAGTTCGATGCCTTCTGCTCACATGGGAGGATGTGAGTATGGGGTTATGGGGGATGGTTGTAAAAGAGGGAAAGTGGCACCAGCTGGTAGGTAGGGGAAGGAGTAACGAGGGGTGGTGTTTCTTTTCTTTTATTTTCTTTTCTTTACTTTTCTTTTCCTTTTCTTTTTTATTTTCTAGGGAAGCCGAGTAGTACCTACAGGGTGGTTGTTTTGCCTGCTTACCCCCACCACATTGCACCCCTCTCTCCCCTTCCGCCTACTTGTTGCACCCCACCTTGCTCTCCACTACAGGCGGTGTGCAGCTGCCATCTAACCCTCTCCCTCTTTCCCTCCTCTCCCCTCCCCTGCCCTCCCCTCCCCCTCCCCCTCCCCCTCCCCCTCCCCCTCCCCCCACCTCCCCCAACATTCCTCCCCCGCCTCCACCCCACCTCACCTTTCTCTCACCACTACAGTGGGTGTGCGGCTGCCATCTAACCCTCTCCTCCTCTCGCTCGCTCCTTCTCTCCCTCCCCTGCCTCTTTCCACCTCTCCCCCACCTCTTCCCTGTCCTCCTCCTCTCGCGCCAATTCTTGCTATCCACTGCAGTGGGTGTGCCTACTGGTCTTGTGACATGATACACAGCGAGCTGCAAACTTAGTCAGGCTTAAAGCAAAGGATAGACAGTTAAAAACCCTCCTGGATTACTTAGATCTCAACATTCCTCTCGCGCCAATTCTTGCTATCCTCTGCAGTGGGTGTGCATGCTCCCAACTAACCTTCTCCCTCCTCTTCCCTCCTCCTCTGCCTCCGAATTTTCCCACCTTCCTCCCCTGTCTCCCCCTAACCTCTTCCCACTTTCCTCCCCTATCTTCCCATGCAATCCACTGCATGGGCGTGCACGTGCATGCTGCCATCTAACCCTCTCCTCCTGTACAAAGAGTAGTTTTGAGACGTCTCAAAACTACTCCCATGCAATCCACTGCATGGGCGTGCACGTGCATGCGGCCATCTCACCCTCTCCTCCTGTACAAAGAGTAGTTTTGAGACGTCTCAAAACTACTCCCATGCAATCCACTGCATGGGCGTGCACGTGCATGCTGCCATCTAACCCTCTCCTCCTGTACAAAGAGTAGTTTTGAGACGTCTCAAAACTACTCCCATGCAATCCACTGCATGGACGTGCACGTGCATGTGCATGCTGCCATCTAACCCTCTCCTCCTGTACAAAGAGTAGTTTTGAGACGTCTCAAAACTACTCCCATGCAATCCACTGCATGGACGTGCACGTGCACGTGCATTCTGCCATCTAACCCTCTCCTCCTTCTCCCTCCCTCTGCCTCCGCCCCACCTTCCCCCGCCTTCCTCCCCTGCCTCCCCCCAACCTCTTCGCACTTTCCTCCCCGTCCCACCTTGCTGTCCTATGCAGTGGGTGCGCATAATGCCAATCACTCTTCCCCCTCTCTCCCCTGCCTCCACCTCACCTCTTTCCCACTTTCCTCCCCTCCCTCACCCCAATATCCACTGCAGTGGGTGTGCATGCATCCTGCCAATATTTCTCTCCCTCCCTCCCCTGCCTCCACCTCACCTCTTTCCCACTTTCCTCCCCTCCCTCACCCCATTATCCACTGCAGTGGGTGTGCATGCTGCCAACTGCTATCCGAAAAAAGCCTGTAGTCTACAGGTAAGCAACGCCACCATGGTTCAAACTTCAAATCCCTGTTGCATACCTTTTGACTCAACTCAAAATTCCCTGCCATCCACTAAAAACGTTGTTGGTTACAGGTAAGTAAGCAGCTGTGCAGAGGCACACCCACAGGTAAGCAAGCAGCTGTGCAGCAGAGGCACACCCACAGGTAAGCGCTGTGGCCCTCTTGTGCCACAGGAGCCCTCTGGGCGGCAAGGTGGCTCTAACTCCAATTCAGTGCCATCCAGACGAGCCCTGAAGGTTACAGGTAAGTAAGCAGCTGTACACAGGCACAACCACGAGTAAGCGGTGCAGCAACATGGCTCACTGTGTACCTGTGGGTACGAGTTGACTTTTGAGTCGACTCAAAAGTCAGCATGGCTCACTGTGTACCTGTGGGTACGAGTTGACTTTTGAGTCGACTCAAAAGTCAGCATGGCTCACTGTGTACATGTGGGCACTGCTGGCTTTTCATGCCTTGTGAGCAACTCAAACGGAACCATCATGTGTACTGGTGCGGTCGCCTTTATTTCCCTCTTTCCTCCCCCCCCCCCCTCCCCTTCAGCAAGCCATCCGTACTGCCCTCCTCTTAAGACGTCTCACAAGTCCACTCCCCACCCTCAGCTCAACTCCACTCCACTGCATGAAGATTTATTTTGAGACGTCTCAAAACAAGTCTTAAAACAAGTCTCAAGACAAGTCTCAAAACAAGTCTCAAAACAAGTCTCAAGACGTCTCACAAGTCCACTCCCCACCCTCAGCTCAACTCCACTCCACTGCACTGCTGTCTTCCCAACGCCCTAACCTTTCCTCTCCGCTCCCCCTCTCCATCCCTCCCAGTGTGGGCTGGGAAGCAACGAGCAGTACGACTTGGAACAGGCCATCGGCGCTGCCCTGCACACCATCCACTCTTCCGCTTCCCCGTTTCACCTCTCGCCCCTTCCCCCTCCCCTCCCTCCCCCCCGTTCCCCTCCCAGTGTGGGAAGCAACGAGCAGCACGACTTGGAACAGGCCATCGGCGCTGCCCTGCACACCATCCACTCTCCCACTTCCCCGTTTCACCTCTTTCGCCAACCCCCCTTTCCCCCCTTCCCAGTGTGGGAAGCAACGAGCAGTACGACTTTGAGCAGGCCATGGGCGCGGCGCTGCACACCAAGCCATTCACCTTCGACCCCTTCCTCTCCGCCAACGCCACTGCTCACATGCTCGCCCTCCCCTTCCTCCACTTCCACCAAATCGCCATCGCCGGCGCCGCAAGCCTCGAAAATTTCCGAGACCAAAACCCCGGAATCACCTTTATGACTTTAAAGGAGGCGATGGAGAAGCTAGGGCATGAGTATGTGGATGTGCTGAAAATGGACTGTGAGGGGTGTGAGGAGGAGTTTACCATGGGGCTGAAGAGGGAGACTGAGGAGTTTGTGGAGAGGAGGAGGAGGGAGGGGGGGGCGTTGACGGAGGAGGAAATGGAGGGGAAGAGGAGGGGGAGGGGAGATGCGAAGCTGGTGATAAACGGGGGGAATCTTCTGTTTGGGCAACTGCTGGTGGAGTTTCACGCGTGAGTGAGACCCTAAAACCTATATCCTCTTGTGTTCACACACACATGCACACATGCACACATGCACACATGCACACATTGACACATTCACACATGCACACATGCACACATGCACACATTCACACTCTCATAAGGGATGCAAAGCTGGTGATGAGTGGGGAGGATCTGCTGTTTATGAGACGTCTCAAAGCTGGTGATCAGTGGGGGGGATCTGCTGTTTGGGCAACTGTTGGTGGAGTTTCGCGCGTGAGTGGTTCACTAGTCAGCAACTGTAACCTCCTGGTGTTCACACACATTTGAGGCGCCTCAAAACCCTTCTGGGCAACTGTTGGTGGAGTTTCACGCGTGAGTGGTTCACTAGTCAGCAACTGTAACCTCCTGGTGTTCACACCCACCCTGTTTTGAGGCGCCTCAAAACCCATCTGGGCACCTGTTGGTGGAGTTTCACGTGTGAGTGACTGTGACCTCTATGTGTGTTCACACACACACACTCACACACAGCACACTCACACACACACACACACACACACACACACACACACACACTCACACACACAGACACACACTCACATGCTCGCTCATAAGGGTTGCGATGCCGGTGGTGAATGGGGGGAATCTGTTGGTGGGGATTCTTGCTTGGGCAACTGTTGGTGGGGATTCTTGCTTGGGCAACTGTTGGTGGGGATTCTTGCTTGGGCAACTGTTGGTGGGGATTCTTGCTTGGGCAACTGTTGGTGGGGATTCTTGCTTGGGCAACTGTTGGTGGGGATTCTTGCTTGGACAACTGTTGGTGGGGATTCTTGCTTGGGCAACTGTTGGTGGGGATTCTTGCTTGGGCAACTGTTGGTGGGGATTCTTGCTTGGGCAACTGTTGGTGGGGATTCTTGCTTGGGCAACTGTTGGTGGGAATTCTTTCTTGGGCAACTGTTGGTGGGGATTTACATGAGAGGGATTGTGCCGTGTCTTATTACTCTCACTCACTCCCGCTGACCCCCCCTCCATGTGTCTAACCCCCCCTCTCTATCCATCTCTCCCAACCCAACCCCACTCCATCTCTCCCAAACCAACCGCCCTCCATCTCTCCCAACCCAACCCCGCTCCATCTCTCCCAACCGCCCTCCATCTCTCCCAACCCAACCCCGCTCCATCTCTCCCAACCCAACCCCCCTCCATCTCTCCCAACCCAACCCCGCCGGCTCCATCTCTCCCAACCCCCCTCCTCTCACTGCTACAGCACCCATGAACCCTGTCGCCCCCCTTGCCCCATCCCCCTTGTAAACAGAAATGTTTTGAGACGTCTGTTTTCAAAACACTTCTGTTTACACCTGTCGCCGCCCTTTGCCCCATCCCCCTGTTAGAAGAGAGAGAATTGATGCATTACATAATGAGCCAAGAGGCCCTAGTACAAACAATGAGCAAGAGAGAGATGAGAGGGAAGATTACCCTATTGACCAATAAGTTGGCCAATGGGTGAGCTTGCTTGTGGTCCAAGCAACCACAAATGTGTGTTGGTTGGGATTGGTTGAGCTAAGGACCAATCCCAACCAACCACAAAATGTGGTTGGAGGGTACACTAAGCAACCCCCCAATTTATAAATGTGCTACACTTCTAGCCTATGTATGTTGTATAAAATATGAAATTACAACACAACCCCCCAACATGCATAAGGCTAGAAGGCCAGAATCAAGAGGCGGTCGGCGACTTTGGAGGAGTGAGGCCAAGGAGACGAAGGAGTGAAGAGTGAGCCGCGTGAGGAAGAGCTTTTGTGAAAATGTCGGCAAGGTTGGCCGCCGAGTCAACCTTGTCGAGCCGAAGGTGCCCCGCCTGAACAAGATCGCGAATGAAGAAATGACGGAGCTCAATGTGCTTGGAGCGCCCGTGAAACACAGCATCCTTAGTGAGGTGAATGGTACTGGCATTGTCACACCAGATGGTGGGATAGCGCTAGGGGGCACCAAGTTCCTCAAGAAGGAAGGCGAGCCAGCGGGCCTCTTGCGCAGCCATGGTGGCGGCATACAACTCCGCCTCGCAGGAGGAGAGGGCGATAGCCGAGGAGCGAGTGGAGCGCCAGCTGATAAGGCCGCTGCCAAGAGAGAAGCCATAGCCCTGGGAAAAGCGACGATCCGGCCGAGAATCAGCCCAGGAGGAGTCACCGTAGCCGCTGAGGAGAGGTGGGGAGGGGCCGCCAAGGGTAAGGACATAGTCCTTGGTGCCACGAAGGTACCGGAGGACACGCTTGGCGGCCTGCCAGTGCTCTTCCGTATGCTTGCCTGCGCCAACAAAACGGGCAAGGACGCTGATGGGGTAGGCAAGGTCTGGGCGAGTGGAGACCATGGCGTACATGAGGGAGCCGATGAGCTCTGGATAAGGATGAGAGGGCGGGGAACCCGAAGGGTGTACAGACGGGAGCGAGGACAATAGGGAATACGGGCGAGAAAACGACCTGTGAAGGTTTGGTATAGGTCACAATGGTTAGCACCACCTGGGATGAGAGTGGTGATCATGGCTTGTTGGAGGGACCTTTGGGAGAGGAGGTTAGTACGAAGGGAGGGAATGTGGAGACCGGTGACAGTACCTGAGGGATAGAGAGGACAGGGAAGGGTGGAGGTGTTGTGACAAGGGATGGAAAAACTGCTATCAGCGCCGATGAGGGAGGTTGGTGTGGGGAGAGGGCGCAGTGTACCAGCGTCGCGAAGGACAGTGTCAGTGGCTCCACTGTCCAGAACGAAGTTAATGGTGGAGGAAGGTGAGGCAGAGTACTGGAACGAAGTTTCATTAGCAGAAGAAGGGTACATGGGAGATGCAACAGATTCAGGTTGACCTAATAAACCAACAAAACCAGAGGAAGGGAAAGCGGTCACACTGCCACCTGCAGACGGCGCCGGGGATGCACCCGAGAGATGGGCTGCAGAGGCAGCACTCCCAGCAGCCCAGGTAGGAAAGTGCTGCTACTGGGAAACCGGAGGAGGAGGGAGGAGGGGCAGTTGCGGCTGGAGGTCGAGCTGCTGCTGGAGATGCTGGAGCTGCTGCTGGAGCTGAGAGAGGAGAAGCTGCTGCCCATACTGCTGTGACCCCTGCTGCTGATTCCCAAGCTGCTGCTGCTGGTGCTGCTGCTGGGGAGGGGCGAGGGCCTGGTGGGCGTGGGTGGAGGAGGGAGGTTCATAGAGGGGAGAGGAACGGACCTCAAGGGGAGTGGGGCGAGGGTTGAGGGCGGACCAGCGAGGAGGGGTGCCGGTGTTGCCACGGGCAAACCACTCATCACTGAGTGCCTTGAAGCACGTCTCATTGGCATGGGTGGTTTGGCCGCAGCGCTGTCCCTGAGTGGGACCGTAGCGAGGCAGGTACTGACAGGGAGGAAAGGCAGCTGCCGTACCACGATCCGCACCACTGCTGCCAGCACCACCGCGACCTGCTGATCCCCCTCGTCCACCCCCACGCCCACCACCACGCCCACCCCCACGCCCACCGCCACGGTCACCCCGGCTGCTGCGCGACTGGGCTGCTGCGCGACTGGGCTGCTGCGGCTGTGGAGGAAGAGTGGCGAAGGATCTCAGCTTCGGTGGTGATAATCCACTGAGCGACTTCGGCAGGGGTGTGGTGCTTGGAGATAAGCTGCATGTAGGCAAGCTTGTGAGCATCGAAGGCAGGTGTGAGGCCCTCGAGGAGGTGGCAGCAGATGACGGTGTCCGGGTACACCACATCGAGTGCTGCAAGGCGCCGAGAAAGGTCTAAGACACGGCGAGTGAAAGCAGCTGCGCCAGAAGTGGAATCCATGGAGAGAGTTCCAAACTCCTTGATAAGGGCGTAAAGAGTGGCAACGTCCTGCCGATCGAAAAGGTCGACCAGCAGTCGCCACAGGTGGGAGGAGGAGGTAGGTGAGAGCTCGCGTTTGAGGGAGGAGGGGATGGTGGCGAGAAGAATGGCAAGCGCGCGTCGATCAGCAACCCGCCAGGCAGTAATTTTCGTGGTGTAGTCTGCAAGTTCTGCAGTGTAGGTGTCCAGGTCCTCCTGGTACTTGTTGTAGCGGGCAGCGGCGTCGTCATAGCCTGTCGTCCTCGTAACGCAATTGCAGGCGCAGGTGCTCTTGGAGATTGGTGCGGTAGGTGCGAATGGCGGTTTCCGAGCTCTGCGGGTCGTTCACATTCGGCGCAAAGGTGGGAGGATCACCGGGGGGAGAGGGCTCGGCGCCAGGGTGGGCAGGGGCAGGTCCAGTAGGAGCGGTGGGGGCCGCGGGCTGAAGTCCACCGCCTTCCTGAAAGACAACCGAGCGAAGGTTGTAGCCGCTGACCACAACAGAGGAGAGGAGCACCTCAACGGAATGAGCATAAGAGTGCCAATTAGAAGCAGAGTTGTCAGGCAGCAACTCGAGTGCGTCAACAGTGGCAAGGTCGACGGAAGAATCGGACGACGATGCCATAGAGATGAGGGTGGGTAGAGGCTAGGGCAGGAGGAGGATGGTGCAAGGGTACTGTTGCCAGTGCTGCTGCTGGCCCTGCTGCCCGTGCCGCTGCTGGTTGTGCAGCTGGTGCCGCTGCGGATGCTGCTGCGGGTAGGATGGGAGGAGGAGGAAGGGAGGCGCGGAGGGTGGGGAAGGTGGAGGAGGAGGAGGGCGATGCTATGGGGGATGCAAGGGGGAAGGGTGCTGCTGGTGGTGCCGCTGCAGGTGCTGCTGCTGGTGCTGCTGCAGGTAGGATGGGAGGAGGAGGACGGTGGAGGAGGAGGGCGATGCTATGGGGGAGGCAAGGGGGAAGGGTGCTGCTGGTGGTGCCGCTGCTGGTGCTGCTGCTGGTAGGATGGGAGGAGGAAGGGAGGAGCGGAGGGTGGGTTGGGTGGAGGAGGAGGAGGGCGATGCTATGGGGGAGGAAAGGGGGGAGGGTGCTGCTGGTGGTGCCGTTAAGATGCCGCTGATGATGCTGCTGCGGGTACTATGGGAGGAGGAAGGGAGAGAGGGGGGGGGGGGGGGGGACGAGGAGGGCAGCCGTGCGGCAGATCCGTGCGACTGGGAAGCCCGTGGCGAACGCACGCGGGACAGGCCGCGGCAAACGAGCGGGACGTGCAGAGATGGGCGCGAAATGGTCAGATTTCAGCGCGGGAGATGCAGATCTGGTCGCGCGGAGTGCAGATCTGGTCGCGCGGAGTGCAGATCTGGTCGCGCGGAGTGCAGATCTGGTCGCGCGGAGTGCAGATCTGGTCGCGCGGAGTGCAGATCTGGTCGCGCGGAGTGCAGATCTGGTCGCGCGGAGTGCAGATCTGGTCGCGCGGAGTGCAAATCTGGTCGCGCGGAGGGCAGATCTGGGCGCGCGGAGGGCAGATCTGGGCGCGCGGAGGGCGGATCTGGGCGGGCGGAGTGCAGATCTGGGCGCGCGGAGTGCAGATCTGGTCGCGCGGAGTGCAAATCTGGTCGCGCGGAGGGCAGATCTGGGCGCGCGGAGGGCAGATCTGGGCGCGCGGAGGGCGGATCTGGGCGGGCGGAGTGCAGATCTGGGCGCGCGGAGTGCAGATCTGGTCGCGCGGAGTGCAAATCTGGTCGCGCGGAGGGCAGATCTGGGCGCGCGGAGGGCAGATCTGGTCGCGCGGAGTGCAGATCTGGTCGCGCGGAGTGCAGATCTGGTCGCGCGGAGGGCAGATCTGGGCGCGCGGAGTGCAGATCTGGTCGCGCGGAGTGCAGATCTGGTCGCGCGGAGGGCAGATCTGGGCGCGCGGAGTGCAGATCTGGTCGCGCGGAGTGCAGATCTGGGCGGGCGGAGTGCAGATCTGGGCGCGCGGAGTGCAGATCTGGTCGCGCGGAGTGCAAATCTGGTCGCGCGGAGGGCAGATCTGGGCGCGCGGAGGGCAGATCTGGTCGCGCGGAGTGCAGATCTGGTCGCGCGGAGTGCAGATCTGGTCGCGCGGAGGGCAGATCTGGGCGCGCGGAGTGCAGATCTGGTCGCGCGGAGTGCAGATCTGGTCGCGCGGAGTGCAAATCTGGTCGCGCGGAGGGCAGATCTGGGCGCGCGGAGGGCAGATCTGGGCGCGCGGAGGGCGGATCTGGGCGGGCGGAGTGCAGATCTGGGCGCGCGGAGTGCAGATCTGGTCGCGCGGAGTGCAAATCTGGTCGCGCGGAGGGCAGATCTGGGCGCGCGGAGGGCAGATCTGGTCGCGCGGAGTGCAGATCTGGTCGCGCGGAGTGCAGATCTGGTCGCGCGGAGGGCAGATCTGGGCGCGCGGAGTGCAGATCTGGTCGCGCGGAGTGCAGATCTGGTCGCGCGGAGGGCAGATCTGGGCGCGCGGAGTGCAGATCTGGTCGCGCGGAGTGCAGATCTGGTCGCGCGGAGTGCAAATCTGGTCGCGCGGAGGGCAGATCTGGGCGCGCGGAGGGCAGATCTGGGCGCGCGGAGGGCGGATCTGGGCGGGCGGAGTGCAGATCTGGGCGCGCGGAGTGCAGATCTGGTCGCGCGGAGTGCAAATCTGGTCGCGCGGAGGGCAGATCTGGGCGCGCGGAGGGCAGATCTGGTCGCGCGGAGTGCAGATCTGGTCGCGCGGAGTGCAGATCTGGTCGCGCGGAGGGCAGATCTGGGCGCGCGGAGTGCAGATCTGGTCGCGCGGAGTGCAGATCTGGTCGCGCGGAGGGCAGATCTGGGCGCGCGGAGGGCGGATCTGGGCGGGCGGAGTGCAGATCTGGTCGCGCGGAGTGCCGATCTGGGTGCGGGAGGAGGAGATCTGGTGGCGCGGAATCCAGATCTGGGCGCGGAATGATCAGATCTAGGCGCGGGAGGAGTAGATCTGGTCGCAGGGAGTGCAGATCTGGGCGCTGAAGTTGCAGATCTGGGCGCTGGAGTTGCAGATCTGGGCGCTGGAGTTGCAGATCTGGGCGCTGGAGTTGCAGATCTGGGCGCTGGAGTTGCAGATCTGGGCGCTGGAGTTGCAGATCTGGGCGCTGGAGTTGCAGATCTGAGCGCGGGGAGTGCAGATCTGGGCGCTGGAGGTGCAGATCTGGGCGCTGGAGGTGCAGATCTGGACGTGCCTTGGAGGGCAGCGCCTTAGGGGGCGCACGGGGAGGGAGGACAGCGCCTAAAGGGCCCGTGAAGGGAGGGCAGCTCCGTGGGTGGGGCTAGATCTGAGGAACGGGGAGGAGAGGGTGGCCTAAGGACCGAGGGAGGAAGGCGTGAGCCATTAGCTCATGATACCATGTTAGAAGAGAGAGAAGTGATGCATTACATAATGAGCCAAGAGGCCCTTTAGCTAAAATATGAAATTACAACACCCCCTTGTAAACAGAAGTGTTTTGAGACGTCGGTTTTCAAAACACTTCTGTTTACACCTGTCGCCGCCCTTGCTCCATCCCCCTTTCCTTCACTACCCCAGCTTGCACAAGCCGCAGCAGTCCCTGGCCTATCTCTACGCCATGGAGGGAATGGGGTACCGCATGTCTCATGTGGAGCCCAACCCGCTGTGCTACTCACAGCATCCTCTCCCCTTCCCCGCCTCCCCCCTCCCCTCCTCCACCATGCACAAGCCGCAGCAGTCCCTGGCCTATCTCTACGCCATGGAGGGAATGGGGTACCGCATGTCTCATGTGGAGCCCAACCCGCTGTGCTACTCACAGCATCCTCTCCCCTTCCCCGCCTCCCCCCTCCCCTCCTCCACCATGCACAAGCCGCAGCAGTCCCTGGCCTATCTCTACGCCATGGAGGGCATGGGGTACCACATGTCTCATGTGGAGCCCAACCCGCTGTGCTACTCACAGCATCCTCTCCCCTTCCCCGCCTCCCCCCTCCCCTCCTCCACCATGCACAAGCCGCAGCAGTCCCTGGCCTATCTCTACGCCATGGAGGGCATGGGGTACCGCATGTTTCATGTGGAGCCCAACCCGCTGTGCTACCCGTGCATCGAGGTGGCGTTTATACATGAAGACCTGGTGGTGCCTCCCCTCAGCCTCGACTGTGCGGCTGTGCTGCGGCGGTCTCAGGTTTCGGACTATGTTGCGCAGTGGCTGCCTGGAGGGGGAGGGGGATGGGGTGGAGGTGGGGGAGGGGGAGGGGGAGGGGGAGGGGGAGGGGGAGGGGGAGGCGGAGGGGGAGGGGAAGGGGGAGGGGGAGGGGACGGGGAAGGAGGAGGGGAAGGGGGAGGGGAAGGGGAAGGGGAAGGGGAAGGAGGAGGGGGAGGGGGAGGGGAAGGGGAAGGGGGAGGGGAACCGGAAGGGGGAGGGGAAGGGGGTGAGGGAGAGGAGGGCAGCAGCAGAAGTGTAGACTCTGGTGGTGACAGTGGTGGTGCGTAAGTGATCCCAACCCCAATTCCAACCCCAAGCCCAACCTGCTGTGCTATGTGTGCATCGAGGTGGCTTTTGTGCACGAGGACCTGGTGGTGCCTCCCCTCAGCCTCGACTGTGCGGTGTTCTGAGGCGGTCTCAGGTTTTGGATTACGTTGTGCAGTGGCTGCCTGGATTGGGAGGGGGGTGAGGGGAAGCGGAAGGGGGAGGGGGAGAGGAAGGGGGAGGGGGAGAGGAAGGGGGAGGGGGAGAGGAAGGGGGAGGGGGAGAGGAAGGGGGAGGGGGAGAGGAAGGGGGAGGGGGAGAGGAAGGGGGAGGGGAAGAGGAAGGGGGAGGGGAAGTGGAAGGGGGAGAGGAAGGGGAAGGGGAAGGGGAAGGAGAGAGGGGAGGGGAAGGGAGTGAGGGAAAGGAGAGCAGCAGCAGCAGCAGCATAGGCTCTAGTGGTGGTGGTGATGATGGCAGCGGTGAGCACAGTGGAGGTGCGTAGGTCCCACCTTAACCCCAACCCGGTGTGCTACCCATGCATCGAGGTGGCATTGGTGCATGCGGACTTGGTGTTTCCTCCCCTGAGCCTTGACTGTGTGGGGATGTGCTGCGCCGGTCTGCGGTGTCTGCGGTAGCTGCCTGAAGTCTGGGGATGGAGTGGCAGCAGCGGCAGCAACGGCAGCGGCGGCGGCGGGGGCGGTGGCACTGGGTGACTTTTGAGTCGACTCAAAAGTCACCTCTGTGCTGAGGCGGTCTGCGGTGTCTAAGAATGTTCCTGCATCGGCTGCTTGAAGTCTGGGGAGGGAGTGGCAACGGCGGAGGCGGTGGCACTGGCAGCAACGATAGCAGTGTAGGCGCTAGTGGTGGGGGTGATGGTGGTGGGGGTGATGGTGGTGGTGGTGATGGTGGTGGTGGTGATGGTGGTGGGGGTGATGGTGGTGATGGTGGTGGTCGTCGTGATGGTGGTGGTGGTCGTGATGGTGGTGGTGGTCGTGATAGTGGTGATGATGGTGGTGGTGATGGTGGTGGTGTTGGTGGCAATGGCAATGGTGGTACATAAGCACCCAACAACTTTGCTAGTCATGCATCAACGTAACGTACCCATTTTCTATCGCTGTTTTTCATTGTGAGACCGCCTTGTTCATCATGATTATTGTTATAACTTGTGGCGAGGTACTCACGTCACAATTTTTGTAATCAAAGAATGGCATACACAACAAGTTTGCATCTATACGATGTGTGCTCCTGGTATGGCATTCTAATGGCTGAGGTAGTAGTCTAAGAATAAGCACTACTATGGGCTACACTTCAGAGCCGGGATATCTCTACTTCAAGGTATGCGTTTATGGAGTTCCCAGCTGTTGTGGAAAGGCGACGGCTGACCAATCAGGCGCGTTTGTGCGAATTTCAACTGCCAATAAACTGGCGGAGTTATTCGGCGAAGGATATGCACGTTCGCTAACCGACTGTTCATTCGTCAGTCACAGAAGTCAAGCACACTGCACGCTGACTCGGCATCGTCAACGTCGCAGGGGGAGTCGGAAAGGGCACGGCACGGAAGCTGACTGGTCATTGACCCAGGTTCGACGAAGGGGGACGTCCCCTGCGTTTCTGCGACGAGCGGACTGGCTACCCGACGAGAATCTGTGGTCTGCGATGCCTTGCGGCAGAAAGAAAGCAGGGAGCGAATGCGTGACCACCCAAGACTCTCCCTGCGACGCTGTGCGACGGAAACGACCTTGACATTGCCGTGACAACAAGGATGAAATTTGAGCTCATGAGAAGTGACTCTGCAGTTTTCTAGGTACTACATTGACGATCCGAGCATGTTAGGTAATTATTGAAGGCCGGCCTACGCGCACTGCTAATTTAGATCACGAACGTTTCCATCCGACGCTTCGGCACGATTCCGTTATTACCTGAAGAATCGCAGCTGTCACTACCTCTAGTCGCTGAGTGCGAAAACGTAAGCAGTTTTCGTTTTTTTTTTTTTTTTTTCCAAGCGCATTGAAGGACTATTTGTTGTCCTAATCAATGAGTTTCTTGCAAATACTTCTCCTTTGCTTTGTACCTTTTTAATGAATATTAGTTTAGTTTTGTCTGCACGGTTTTTGCACACATTTTTTCCTCAGCTCAGCCCACCTTACAGGACAACCTTTTTTCTTTTCAACTGTGTCCTTGCTCACCCAGCCATCGCTAAACGACATCCTGCCGAGCGCATCAGCCCAGCTCTTTTTTTCTTGGAGCTCGTCCTTCCAGACACTACTGAATCGAGACTCTGCAGATGTGTTATATTCCAGCTTTCGGTAAAAGAAATACAGCTGTGTTTGACCTGCAATTATAGCGAACTACACTCTCCGCAGTCGTTACTAGCGAGCTGTAGTCTGTAAGAAGCACTCTCTCAGCAGTCGTTGCTGGTGTACAGTTTTCTTCGACCCACGCTACAGAGCTGACGATACTCGGTTCACTATGGGAAGCGGATCATCTAAAGACGGGGTTATCAACAAAGACGTAGGTGAGTCTTCTCTTACTCCGCTCGTAACCATTTGACGGCTAAGAGTGATGGCAAGAGTCGATCCCGTTTCAGTCTGACGTGAACGATTACTCTTAAAGCTGTTGTCTCTTTCTTAAGATTGTATCTCGTTTCTCTTGTCCCGTGTCCGTCCGGGCGCGAAGTGTCAGCTCCTCCAACTGAAGCTGATTCCATCTCATTCTACTCGTTTTTTCTCCCCCGCAATGCCTTTGCCAGGATCCACTAAGAACTCGGTGATCTTTGTGCAGCCCGGCCTCAAGGGCGTATGTCAAGACTCAGCACTCGCCACAGAGGTGAGGAAAGTCGAAGGTGGGAGTGTTGTCCCGCAATTGCGTGAATTGGATGGTCTACGTCCAAGACTCGGCCCAGCCCTTGCCAGAGGTGAGGAGAGACAGAAGTGTGAGTGTTGTCCTCAACTGCGTTATTCAAAGGACGAACGTCCAAGACTCGGCCCAGCCCTTGCCAGAGGTGAGGAGAGACAGAAGTGTGAGTGTTGTCCTCAACTGTGTTGTCCTCAATGCCAGGCGCTGCGCCAAAATTGTCGTCTCGTTTGTGTTGACTTCGAAGGGTATAAGCCTAGCATTTTGGGAATTGCTTCATTTAAGGCAAGGGTGTATGTTAACTTAACACTTGCCTCACAGAAATCAGAAAAGTCAGTAGATTCAACATTGTGGGTGTTGTTCAATCCAAGGCACGACCACACGTCAAGACCTAACAATTGCCGCAGAGGGGTCACGACTGTGGGTGTTGTCCCCCAACTGCCGCCTCTTTGCGTTGATCGCAGGGTGTATGTCAAGAGTCAGCACTTGTCTTACAGAAAGTCAGTAGATTCACATCACATCCATCGCAAAGAGAGTATGGCAAGATCCAGGCCAGTTCTTGCCTTACAGAGGTCAGAAAAGTCACCATGCTCAGTCGTGTATGGGGATCTATGGGGAGCAAGGGCGTGTGTTATGTCAAGATGCAGCACTCGCCAGTGAGAACTCAGAAGAAGTCAACAATGTGGTCCGCGGCGTGTGGTGTGGACACCCCGTCCTCCCATCCTCCCACCTCTCCCAACCCTCCCCACGCCCCCTTACCCCTTCCCCAGAACCTGATAGTCACAAGCACAACTGGGGAAAGAGGCAGTGCGCTGGTGGGGGTGTTTGACGGGCACGGCTTGTCGGGGCACTGTGTGTCCAAGGCAGCTCGCGACCAGCTGCCAGAGCGACTCGACGCAGCCGTGCAGCACACCCAGCACGAGCTCTCTTGCTTGCTTGCTTACTCTCTCCTCCGCCTCTCTCTCCCCCCACCCTGCCAACTCCCTCCCTCCCGTCCTCCCATTCCGCTCACCCTCTCCCCCAGAACCTAATCATGACGAGTACAGCGGTGGAGAGTGGGAGAGGCAGTGCGTTGGTGGGGGTGTTTGACAGGCACGGGCTGTCGGGCCACTACGTCTCCAAGACAGCTCGCGACCAGCTGCCAGAGCGACTCGACGCAGCCGTGCAGCACACCCAGCACGAGCTCTCTTGCTTGCTTGCTTACTCTCTCCTCCGCCTCTCCTTTCCCCCGCCCTGCCACTCCCTCCCTCCCATCCTCCCGTGCTGTGCTGCCCTTCCCCAGAACCTGATCATCACAAGCACAACTGGGGAGAGAGGCAGTGCGCTGGTGGGGGTGTTTGACGGGCACGGCTTGTCGGGGCACTACGTGTCCAAGACAGCTCGCGACCAGCTGCCAGAGCGACTCAACACAGCCGTGCAGCACACCCAGAACGAGCTAGCACACGTGGACGGGGCTGCGGCGCGGGATGTGTGGGCGCGGTTGTTTGGCGGGGTGTTTGGGGATATCGACGAGGAGCTGAGGAAGGACCTGTTCCACAACAGGGACAGCGGGTCTACTGCTGTCGTCGCCCTTCGCCTTGTGAGTCTTCCCTCTCTCTCTACCTCTGCCTCGTGAGTCACGTTTCCCCCTCTCTCTCTGCTGCTCTGCTCGAGTGGGCACACGTGTTTGGCGGCGTGTTTGGGGATATCGACGAGGAGCTGAGGAAGGACCTGTTCCACAACAGGGACAGCGGGTCTACTGCTGTCGTCGCCCTTCGCCTTGTGAGTCTTCCCTCTCTCTCTACCTCTGCCTCGTGAGTCACGTTTCTCCCTCTCTCTCTGCTGCTCTGCTCAAGTGGGCACACGTGTTTGGCGGCGTGTTTGGGGATATCGACGAGGAGCTGAGGAAGGACCTGTTCCACAACAGGGACAGCGGCTCTACTGCAGTCGTTGCCCTCCATCTCGTGAGTCAACTATTTCTCTCTCTTTGCTGCTCTATTTGTTGGGTGAAGCATGTGTGGGTGTTTGGGGGGGTGTTTGGGGACATTGACGAGGAGCTGAGGAAGGACCTGTTTCACAACAGGGACAGCGGCTCAACAGCTGTACTTGCCCTCCGCTTCGTGAGTCGCATATGTCTCTCCCTCTCAGGCTCTCATCAGTCATGTCTCCACGCGAGCTGGCTGGGTGGGGTT